CATACCTATGTTAATGATTTGGATACTCAATTTGAGAAAAATGACAATACCCACTGTGAGAGAGAACAAATTTTCAAGAATCAGTTGAGCAATGCAAAAGCTAATTAATTCTAGAGGAAGCAACATGTGGAAGTGAATTTTTTTTCTTCATTTTCGTAATGGTGTTTTTTGTTTGTACTGAAATTGTAATGATGTTCTTGGAATGTAATGTACAAATTGTTTGGTGTTTAAGTCCAATTAATTAAAGTTTACAACTTGTTTTGTTTTTATTATATATTTGACATTATTTGATGATCAGTTTTTTTTACAGCTTTTTTTTAGTACTTAATATTATTTGGTGGAACCAATACAAATTTTATTTCGTTTTGACATAATTCGAACCAGATTTAAAGTTTCATCTTCTTTGACATTATTTGAAAAATATGGAGGCAATAATGTTTTGATTTGTTTGTTTTTGGCATGCTTTTGTTTGTTTTTCTTTGTCAAGTTGCAAGTTAGTTTAGATAATTTAGTTTATGGGGTGGTTATGAGTTTTTGTAATTTTTGAATCCGTTTTTGGTACGACTGTTAGGAATGATGTTCTAAAAGTATGAGATATAATAAAGACTTTATTATTTATTTAATAAAATAAAATTTTCATTATTTTATGTGTATTTGTATTTTATATCCTTTGTGAATATCATTGAAAATTCACGATTAATTTTTTATGTGACCTTAAATATTGTATATAAGTGTTATGTATTATAGGATAATACTTTAGGATAAAGATTGAAATAAGTTCATTAATGAATTTAATTAAAGTACATAATATTTAGTTAAAACATTATTAATACATATCATTCCCATTAATAATAAAATGAGCTTATATGCATTGATGATATGTAGGGATATCGAATGAGTGTATTTTACATAATGAGATTATGTAGGACCGGGACAAGATACAATATGAATTTCTAATAATATTTGTTAAGTAAAGAAATTCTAATTGAGCATACCGATGGTCATATAAAAAATGATCTAAATCCTGAGTTATTAGCAGACTACTATTTGTGGATTCATATTTTTTGACTTACTTGGTTCAACTTTTGATATTACTAAATATTATTCATTGTATCTTAGAGACATGTTGAAGTAGGCAGCAGTAATGTTAATATTACGAGATGGAATCTCTTGAGGGTTGATTCGATACTTGAATATGTAACGAGCTCGGTTCATGAATTTATTTTTTGAATATTCCATTTATTAGAGAATCAATGATACTCAGGGATAAAGATGTAATTAGAGAGATTAACGGATTTCACCTAGCTCTCATTACGAATTATTTATGTATGATCGATTTATATGAAATTGCTATATCAAATGGACGTTTCACAACTGTAAATAAATGTCTATAATATCAAGAGTGCAATTCCAAGTTTATAGTGGAGTAACTTTGAAATCAATAGAATTAATTTATTAGTTAAAGAGTATGAGTAATTATTAATTTGATTAGAACTTGATATTATAGGTTCATGAGTCTCCGCCTCATGCTTGTAATTTTTTCAAGACATTAAGAAATAATGGGAAATTTAGAATATGGATTCTAAATTAATTCACTCAAAAAATTAACTGTGAATTCATTGTATATTAGATAATGTGATTATATAGTAGGTAATTTTGAAATACATATGGTGCGAATCACATGGTGTGCATGCCTAACATCAAGAGCAATCCTCTAAAATTCAGTTGTTTGCTCTTCTAGTTATCTAGTTTATTTGTTAGACAAGTTGTCCGATTAGATTTCAAATATGTTTGAAGTTTGATTTTAAATAGAAATTTGAATTTGAGTCAAAATTAAACAATAGGATAAAGTAGGAATTTATCTCTTCTTGGCCTATACTGTTGGCACCACTCACAGGGAGATATCCCTGTAGTGGTCAAATTTCACACAGCAAGAGAAAGAAAGTTGCACTAAAATTAAATGAGAATTTTACCGTGCTTTTAAATGAGATTTAAAATAAAAATTAATCATCAATTTTCTTAAACCTTATCTTAGAGATAAATTAGAGTTCTACTAAGACTCTAATTGCTACTCTAAAAAGGTGGAAGTAGAAAATTGGATAACACAATTTTACTCTATTTGCACCTATAGTGGCCGAAGATTATAGGGAGAAAAAGTGGCAAAAGTTCTTCCATTCTCAATTTCAGTACATACATGTGACGACCCTCCTATGTGGCTGTCAACTTAAACATATTTAATATATTCTTAGACTTAAATTACTTGAAATAGTGGAATAATATATATTTTTTGAATAGATACTTAAAATATAAGAAAGAATAATTTCATAAATCGTAATGATAATTTCCTAAAACGAAATAATAATTTCAATTCTAATTTAAAATTCACAATTCTAGATTCAAAACCACAAACTATATCTAAAATCTAAAACAAAATTATAAACCATAACAAAAATACCAAAATCAATTAACTAAATATCAAAATATTAACCCACAAAATCCAAACCCACAAATACCAGGGGTTGGAGAACGGTAAGGCAGCAAGAAAAGAGGATGCCGGCAGCCAAAAAACGGCGAGTGCGGCCGGAAAATGGCGAGTTTGGCCGGAAAAGTGGGAGGCAAGAGGGAGATGAAACTCCACGTTTTTTTGACTTTTTCTCTCCACAAATGAAAGATTTGAAGAGATGACGATATTTTTTAGCTATTTTTAGTGTTTTTTGACAATTTTTGGAGGTTTTGGGTGGAGAGATGAACGGAAAACGCGAGAGCTTCACCGGGAAAAATGGCGGAAGGTGGTCTGCGATTTCGTTTATGCAGGTTATTTTTTACGGCAACATTATGTCGTCACACAAAGATTAAATAGTCATCGTAATTCATGTTAAAACGACGGCGTTCTTCTTCACCTCATTAATATTTTTGAGAATATTCTTGAGGAATATACCCTGGTTCCTTTTTTGCGACAACAATTTAACAATGTCGTCGTCAATAATTTTGAGGAAACCTTATCTTAGAGATAAATTAGAGTTCTACTGAGACTCTAATTGCTACTCTAAAAAGGTGGAAGTGGAAAATTGGACAACACAATTTTACTCTATTTGCACCTATAGTGGCCGAAGATTATAGAGAGAAAAAGTGGCAAAAGTTCTTCCATTCTCAATTTCAGTACATACATGTGATGATCCTCCTAGGTGCTGTCAACTTAAACATATTTAATATATTCTTAGACTTAAATTACTTGAAATAGTGGAATAATATTTTTTTTTTGAATAGATACTTAAAATATAAGAAAGAATAATTTCATAAATCGTAATGATAATTTCCTAAAATGAAATAATAATTTCATAAATCTTTAAATTTTAAGGTATGATAATTTCCAGGAAAATCCTTAATTTAATTACTTAAATTACGCTATTTAGTTACAGAATTTTCTTGGTCATTATAGTACATGTGTTGATGGTAGTGGAAGATAAGTCAGTTGATGGTAGTGAAAGACATACACAATCTTCATAGACTCGAGTAGTAGACGAGAAAAATTCGTTGTGATATGAGAACTGGAGCATTGGATTAATTAGATTTATTATTATTTAATTTAACATGTAAATTCTATAGCGTTCAACAAAGATTTTATGAAAATTTTTATTTATACTCAATCCGCACTATCACGCTTCTGAAATCATTTCGGAAACCAACGACAACAAGATTTGTCGTCATCGTTAACAAAAGCTAAATCCAGAGTCAATAGACGACGAATCATTCAAACAAGGCACTCATCTAATTTCCCACTCCCTAAAACCTTTTTCTTTTTTAGACCCTAAAACGTTTGAGAATCTGATGAAGATCAACTAGTGTAAAAGCATGTCACGTCATATGACTTTTTTCGTAATTAATTTAACGGATCTCGACAGAAATGTCTTAATTGCACCAGTATAAGGATATTGGGGGTGTTTTGTTAAAATTAAAAAAAAAATGAACTAAATTATTACTAACTAAATAATTTAAAGACCATCGTGTCAATTATCCTATATAATATATTTTTTTAAGGTACCTTATATAATATTTCAACTATGTCATGAAGAAATTTGATTTTCTTTTTGCTTTTTATTTTCTTTTCCTTTTTTATTTTTTATTTTTTATTTTTATTGTTCTTTTGATTTGAATAACTGAACAAGCAGAGCAGTGAACCTTTAAGTGTTAACACCCTACCAACCGTTACGATTGGTACACCTACCGGAATCTTTACCATCTATTATGAACACGCGGCAATTTGTAGTTCAGTTTATTTTATTTCCAATGTTGATCTAATGACTGAGTAAAAAGAAAAAGAACAGATAAGTAAGATGGAGAATTTGTTTTCAAATTTCCGACGATTTTCCCCAGAACTTTCACGCCTTCAAAGTAATTTTAGAGAGACAAATGTTGTCAACTTCTAAAATAAGATAATTCTGCCTTTGGTATATTACCTTTCAGGGTAAATGAGCATCACTGATAACTGCAGGAGCCAATGCTAAAACAATACCACCAACCAACCAAACAAAACACGGTTTCGTAATGGATATGATATAAAAGTGATTGATATATGTATATGTGTGTGTATATATATATTGATAATAGAGTCAAAAAAATCACATTAATAATGCATGGTTTTGAAGAAACTGTACGGCCAAAATATGGCGCAATATAGCCAAAGAGAAAAAGACTAATTAACAGAATACGATATCGATTGAAAGCAAATTATAATAAATATTGAAGAAAAGGACGAAATTAATTAGACAAATTATCGTGTCCCTTTCAAGCACCTAAAGAGTTTGCCGTTCCAACACGGAAAACAACGATTTTAATTCACCGTCAAAACGGGCAAAAGACGCCGTCCCACCTCTACCATATCAACGTTCTTCCTCCTCCTCCACGTCTACTCCCACCAAATATATATGTCCTACTCATTTCCACATATACGATATCTATATTATTGCTCAGAATCTTATCATCTGAATTGAATACAATTCGGTCAAAAGTCAAACACCCCCAAAAGTGTCCAATTTCTTCTGCTACAAGTCTTTATGGGATGATCTAAATAAATTTGATTAATATCCTATAAAAATGTTTGGGACACCAACTTTAATAAAAGATGAATCTCATGTGTTGAATCATATTAAAAGATCTATTTTCTATTAATAAGTTGTGCTCAGTATTATTGACGATTCTCGTTCATCATTTTAATACTTATATATGATCTCATTAGTTAAAAATCTGCCTTTTGATGTCCAAAATACTACTTCCGCCAAATAGAAAATGTTTAACATCCTAATATGCTCAGACATCACATTTATATATGTGAAGTTTATCTCAAATTTTGTTGATATACATTATACAATTCCTGCCGAAAGTGTGGTTGTAAGTGGGATCGATGAGATCATCTAGAGAAATTAGATCAATAAATAAACAAATTCACCCCCCTAAAAAAAATAAATAAATAAAAGAAATCAAAGACAAACCTCAGTTTCCAAGCTACTCAAAATAGTTGCGACTTGACCAATAGAAGGCCTACTTTTCCGAGAATTACCAACACAAGCTGAAGCAACTTTAGCTAACCTAACAAGAGGCTTAACATCTGAAGGAATAACAAGTCTAGGATCTAAAAATTCATTAATCCTCATTTCCCTAATCAAAGGCAAAGCCCACTTTAAAATCAACCCTTCTTCACATCTTCTCCCACTCAAAAGCTCCAACAAAACGACACCAAATCCATAAACATCACTCTCTTTACAAGCCCCTCCATTTCTCTGACCCCAATACTCATCATCCACATACCCAACTACACCTCTTTTCTCTCTTGGCGCCAAAAAAGTGAGGCCAAAATCGCATATTCTAGCACCAAAATTCAAATCAATAAGAATATTGGAAGGCTTTACGCAGCCATGCACTATGTGTGGCGCCACACTCTCATGCAAGTACTCGAGCCCTCTCGCGGCGCCGGCGGCGATCCTGACACGCCGGCTCCAGTCCAATAGCGAAACGCCATCCGGGTTTTGGTGCAAATAGAATTCCAAGCTTATTGTGCCAACAAACTCCGACACCACAATCCTCTCGCCGGGCGCTTCCGAAAACCCTATGATTTGTACTATGTTGGGGTGTTGAGCCAGGGAGAGAGATTTAAGCACCGTTGAAAACCCCAAACCGGCATTGCTTAGAACTAGTCTGGGATGAATCCGCTTGACGGCGACGAGCTCTCCTTTCTCGAAAACGGCGGCGTATAGAGTTCCTAGGCGGCCCTCGCCGATGACTCTGCGGCGGTTGAAGCCGTCTGTGGCGGCGTCTATGTTGGTTAGAGGAAACGACGTCGCTGAAGCCTTGATCACCGGAAGTAGGGCTTGGTCTTGGGATTGATTGGTGACCGCTTTCCTTTTGCAGATTAGTATGAGGACGAGGATTATAACGAGAACAAGGATAGAAGTTGAGAGAAGAGCCAAGAGAAAATAGTAGGCAATACGCTGGCTATGATTCATGTCTGTGAATTGTAATGTTTAATATATATATATATATGCAAAGTGGTTTTTATACAGTTCTCTCTCTGTTTTTTCTTTTTTTTTTTTTTCTTTTTTTGAGTGGTGGAGAAGGGAAGAGAAGTAGAGGTTGGATGGTCAAGAAAAGTGGGGTGTGGAAAACGGGGTTATATATGTGAGATTTGGAAGTGGGGTTAGAGTTTAAAAGTACACGGAAGAATGATCGAGAGAGAAAAGTAGAGTATGAAAAAGTCGGGTTATATCTCTTTGAAAATTTGGAGGTGGATCGGTGAGAAAGTTGGAATTTTTTGGTGCTAATTAATAAAGAAGTTTAGCTATATATGTTGGTTAGTAGTTGGCCGTCTTCCCTACGCTACCATGACAATTATCTTTTATAGTGACATCTTAAAAGACTTTTTGGAAACTTTGCTCCATTATACATGACTTTTGCTAATTCACTTTGCCTTGCCCAATATGGTACCAAATGGTTATTCCTGGTCATCCTCACGTCGGTTCTTGGTGATTGGGAAATTCCTTTGGTTTATGCCAACAGAAAAGGATGTAAAGTAACTCCAATTACTTGATTGATTAGTTGGCCTTTGAGATTTATTTATTTTGATCATCTGCCTCTATTGGGTCTTCTTTTGCACAAATCAACAAGGAAAAAGAGACAAATACCCTTTTAAATTGTATAGGTCTTGATTTTTACCTTTTAATCTTGACTAATATCCTTTTAATCAAATATTATATTAGTTAAAGAGAGTATTAATCAAGACTAAATGGTAAAAATCTAGACCCGTGCACTTTTAAGAGTAATTTCAGTAATTTTCTCAATCAAACAAAATCTTATATAATCACTAGGGGTGTAATTTTGTAAAACAAATTAGTTTATCATTTTGATAAAATATTAATAACGATTGTTGAAAAGGCGGTTGTATTGGCATGTCCTTATTCTAAACAAATGTACCCCATTTCATTTTAAGAGAAAATGAATAAATACCTAAATTTTAGTGTCTACCTAAAAAAAAGTACTCAAGTCTCAATTTCATTTTGATTTAAATATGTTTAAATCATATACATAATGGCACCACTCTTCTCTATTTCAGTTACATAAAAGTTACAAACTTTATGATAATCAAATAAGTATAAATATTAAAATGGTCTATAATATCTATATAATATTAACATTGTTGAAACTATGCCAATCACTCTAATCGACTTTTTTTTATTAAATATAAAAAAATAATAATCTATTAAATTACTCTCCAGCTACTGGCACCGGTGACTTGCAAGAGACATCTGATGGATTAGCAATGATAATCTTGTAGATTACCTCGCTACTAGTGAGGGCACCTCGCTACTAGTGAGGGCAACTTCGGTAATAGCTGTGTTGTTGACCCTTGACCAAACCACTTGAGGGGTAGTAATAAGAGGACCATTGTTTGGGGGAGAAAAAAAAAAAGAAAGAGTGATTGTTTCAAGAGGTATTTGTGTGCTCTTCCTTTAGTTAAAATGTAACTATTTCACGAAGTCACGCGGTGAGCACAGAGCGAACTATTCTTTCGCCTTTTACTAAAGGTGTGTTTGGTAAGAGAATTCGTACCCTGATTCGAATCATGATTCATTGTTCGCTATAATATTTTCTCTCACAAAAAATATACGTAAATTGAAAATAGTTTTAATCTCATGATTCTAATTCATGAACCAAATATTTTCTAATGAAACTATTTCTTTTGACATCATCATTAAAACAAAATTCTTTAACAAGAATTATTTTTACTCCCACGTAAACCTTTTTTTTTTTTTAAGAAAATGCATCAACATAAACCTTTTTTTACGGTTCCATAATGATTCATGGCACTTAAAGTCCCACGAATGAGCTGCACCCACAGTGTTGAATGTCTATTATACATATTATAAATCACGCAGATCATCAATCTTTAAGGGAACATCTCCACTTTTCTTTTAGGTTATTGACACGGGTAATCCCTGAATTTTAAATATGATGAAATTTTTATCTGAAATTATTAATTTTTAACATATTGATCCTTCAATTTTTGATTTTTGGCAGTTTGGGTCTAGTATATTATAATTAACGCATGAATTTAAAATTTAATATAGATAATCACTCGCATAATAATTGAAAATTATAAATAAACACTTATAGTGAGTATAAAATGTCAAAATTATTAAGAGGTTTTTGATAGTAACAAAGAATAAATTTTAAATATAACGTAATTCTTTCTATAAAATGTTAAATTACCATGTGATGAACACATGATTATTTTTGTTAAATTTTTTAAATTATTCATCAATTTTAATGTTAGAGACCAAAAATTAGGAAAAAAACAAAAAATTAGGTACTAATACGTCAAAATCAAAAGTTAAGAAATCAAAATATCACTATACTCAAAGTTTAGGATTAAACCGTACCAATTACCCTTTGAGAAAATTACAAAATTTACCCGTAAGAGTGCATGAATATGAATTTTTACCCCTCATTCTTGATTAATACCTTTTTATTAATATTATTTTTTGACTAAAAATATTATTAATCAAAAGTAAGAGGCAGAAATCCTGACCCACCTTTCCCCATAAAGATGTCAAAACGGGTGGGACTTGACGGGCCAACATGAGCATAGCACGTTAAAAAATGGGCACGACACTGCACAACACGATTATTAGATGGGTCTCACTCATCCCATTTATCAAATGGGTTAGGCTTGACACAGTTTTTAAGCACGAAGCACGATAAAAGCACGACACACTAAGAGCACAACACGAACACGGGCACAAATACGTTAAAAGTATGATAAGGGCCCAATTAATGAAGATGAAGTATAAAACTATTTTATTAATATATTGTACATGTTATAAAATTATTAGTTTATTAAAAAGTTTTAATAAAAATAATAATTAAGTTAATAAAATGGAAACTTAACCGATTCTTTCAAATAAAAACTAAATAGTTGTTAAGAAATAGTTGTATTACATTATTTGCGGTTGGAAAAATTGACAAAATAGGTGCAAATTAACCTATATAATATTAATGATATCCATTTTTTTGTTCAATGCTTATTTCTTTATATTTATTGAAAATATGCTATTTGGTACGACAAGGACACGTTAAAAATACAAGTACAGGAACAAATACGGCTCAAGCACGCTAAGGGCACAGCCCACATATAAATAAGCCACAGGCCGAGCTTGATGCCTTAAAAATTAAATGGGTCAGGCGAAACACGACACGATTAATAAATGGACTGACCCAGACATAATATGACCAATTTAAATAGGTCAGGTCAGCATGACATGGCACGATTGACATCTCTATTTCTCCCAAGCCCTTATCTATTTCCCTTTCCTTCCTCTGTTCGGCCTAATGCTAAATCATGGGCTTTTAAAAAGCCTGCAGCTTAAGCTGTATAGAAACTATTTCTATCTTTGACTACTGTGATGATTCATGAATCTTGTGGACTAGAGGAGTCGTGAACAGGGCTAACCGATCAGAGTAGCGAATAGCCACAAAGCCCAAATGCTAATGTCCGAACTCAACAATCAAAGGCTACACTTATCTTAGGCCACTGACTACTGAGGGTAGATTGCTTCTTGGACCACCGCACTTAGCAACGTACTTAGCAGCATGTACTGGAAATAGTATGTATAGTACTTCTCAAGCAAAAGCTAAAATCAGGACATCTCTTTTTAGAAAAATAGTAAAAAATATGCCAATATGAAAAGCTTAAGAAAGTATATAGGCCAATTTTTAGTTATAAAAATTAATAGGTCATAATTTATCGAGTTATGGTTCATAACCAGATAAGTTATGGACAAACTTGTCAAATTATGGTTCATAGCCAGACAAGTTATGAACAATTATGAGCAATAACTTGTCAAGTTATGGTTCATAACCAGACAAGTTATGAACAAAAACAGTAATTTAGCCTATTTATTAACTTATGTAAACTATTGACCTATTAATTTTAATTCATCTTAAATCTTGACCTATTTCTCTCTTTCTCCCCTCTTTTTATTGTCCACCAAAACCTTTCTCAAGTGAGGGCGCTTTTCTGGTAGAAATTCCTATAAATATTGGGCTTTTGATATGGTCCATCCAATATAATATGTTAAAGTGAAAAGTGTAACATTATAGACTAATCATTAAACGTAGCAGCAATAATGTTAAAGTTACATTTAATAATTATCATGTTACATGTAGATAGATTGTAACAATATCATAAATATTACGTGATAATTCTACAAAATAAAGTTACTTTATTCCTAATTTTGTGCAAAAACTGGAGATTTTAATTTATTTTGGTTTTATTAGATTTTTTATTTTTATGTGATTTTATTTTATTTTTTTTACGTATTTTTATTTTATTTTAATTAGTATAAATAAATATTTATATAATATAATATATGTGTGTTTTTTTGCGTGTATATATAATAATATAATATTATTATAAATATACGACATATATTATATTCTATTAGGTTTTTATAGAATATAAATATAATAATTTTTATTTTATTTTTAGCTCAAATCACATCCGTTGGATCGAAGCTTGTGGATGACCAGGTGTCACGTCATGCTTTTTATTTTATTTGTGTGCGTCACGTGTCATACTTATTATATCAATTGTCTAGATTAATTTAAAATGTTTGTTGAAATTTAATGGCCAATGGAAATCAAGTTTCACGTAGTCCTTGCCGCACTGGATTAAGTCCAAATATTAGATTATCATGGTGATTTCGGAGGAAGAAAAAGAAGAAAAAAATAAAAATTCTAAAGAAGGCAATTTGCAAAACTTTGTGACTCTACAACATCCATGCATTGGACTCATATGCATTCCAAGACCTATAAATAGGCTGCTTCTCCAACTCTTGAAGGCATCCCTCAAACCTTAGAGCTCTTTAGAAATAATAATAAAAAAAGAAAGTCTTTGTTTTAGTAATTCTTAGTTTAAATTTCAAAGTTTGTAATTTTTTAGTTTTTAAGTTTGAATTCTAGAGGAGGAGTTTCCGAGCCCTGTTAGGAGATGTCTAAAGCAGATTAAAAACTGTATCCGCAACTAGTGTTTGTACTAAAACTCTGCTTTTATTATTTTTGTTATGAAAATGTTATTTTAATTTTTTGTACTATGTTAGTTTAATTATAATTATGTTTAAATTTAATTTTTGTTGGGATAATGATGCAATCATATTATGAGGATTTAATTTGTGTAAACATTATTGTGATTGTCATA